ATCTGTTGGGTGAACATTCTGAAAGGCAGAGAGATGGTATGTGAAATTAGGAAACATAATGTCACCACCTCATTACAATAGATGGCAACTGCATAGCTAACTCCCTTAAGTATGCCATGCCCATTCATTAGTTAAAAACAAGAAAACCCAGGATGTGTCTTGCTTCTTGGACCCTTCATCCAAACATGAAACCAAAGCAAATTACAGTATTCCCAGTTTAATTCTGGAAGCTAGTCAACCCTCTGTTTAAACTTATGAAATAATAATATTGGTAAAATAGTCTGAATCACAGACTCCTATCTGTTAGCTTTCCAAAGACATGTGGTTCTCCTGTTCTTAGGCAATACAGGATTTATTTCTAGTAAATAAAATATTTCATGGGAAAAAAATAAAAACTATTTCATAAATATAAGACTAGAGCATCTAAGAAGAGAATAGAATGAAAAAAGTAGTGTGCCGATATCCTATGTTTTAAGGTAGTTTCTTTTTACATTTGCAGTTTCTTATCCAAAATAAGGAAATAACCTTTGATTGAAAGGTTACTGAAAGATCAGGCTCTGAAGGCCAATAGCGTTTGAGAAGTATAACATAAAAAAACAGTGGTGTCTCCTGCCGTGAATGCTGAAGGTCGGGAAAGTCAAACTTCAAAAACGAGAATACCTCCATACCACCAAGAATAACACCCAGAGAAAATCCTTCACCAAAAATCCCTGCCAAATTTCCCACTTAGTTTTATTGAATAAATACACTGGCGGAGTGGGAGGTTGGGTGCTAAGCCTTCATTCATGAGTCTGCCTTCTTCAGCAATAAGCAGCCAGGCACAGCCCCGTGAGCACATGGTGGCCTGCAGCTGCCTTTCCCTCATGACTGCCTTGTGACTGTTTTCCAGGTTTCCCTGCCCATACAACGAATGCCACAGTTCAACCCAGAATCACCAATGACCCAGCCAATTCCACTGCTTGGCATCCACGAAGCATCCCTCATCAAAACATCGAAAACTTTTTTGAGTGTCAACATCATGTCACAAGTGGAGATATTTCATATCACACCTCATGCGACAGATCAAGGTCAACATGCAGGCATACCAAATATTGCATGAAACTGCCTTCCGGTTATGTGTAGAAGATGTATGTGAAACACAAACGAATTTCGTGTTTAGATTTGGGCCTCATCCCTGAGATACCTTATTATGTATGTGCAAATATCCCAAACTCTGGAATATTTCTGGTCCATAGCACTTTAAATAAAGCATATTCAAATTGTATCTAATAGCCGGCGCCGCGGCTCACTAGGCTAACCCTCCTCCTGTGGTGCCGGCACCCTGGGTTCTAGTCCCGGTCGGGGCACCGGATTCTGTCCCAGTTGCCCCTCTTACAGGCCAGCTCTCTGCTGTGGCCCGGGAGTGCAGTGGAGGATGGCCCAAGTGCTTGGGCCCTGCACCCCATGGGAGACCAGGATAAGTACCTGGCTCCTGCCATTGGATCAGCGCGATGGCCAGCCACGGCGGCCATTGGAGGGTGAACCAACGGCAAAGGAAGACCTTTCTCTCTGTCTCTCTCTCACTGTCCACTCTGCCTGTCAAAAAAAAAAAAAATTGTATCTGATGCAAAAAATTGAAAAGAGGTTTTGCAATAAAAATTTGCGTATGATTGTTCAAAACAGCAATGTTCAAAAGAGCAAAAAGATGGAAACAGCCCAAATACCCATTAATAGATGAACAGATAAACAGAGTGTGGCATACCCATACAATGGAATATCATAAACTCATTGAAAAGCCATGAAGGGGCTGGTGTTGGGCCTTGATGGGTTAAGCTGCCACATGCAATGCCAGCATCCTATATGGGCACCAGTTTGAGTCCCTGTTCTTCTACTACTGGCCCAGCTCCTTGCTAGCTTGCCTGGGAGGGAAGCAGAGGATGGCCAAGTCCTTGGGAACCTGGAAAAAGCTCCTGGCTCCTGGCTTCAGAACTGGCCCAGCCCTGGTCATGGCAGCCATTAGGGAGGTGAACCAGCAGTTGGAAAATCTCTCTCTCTCTTTCTCTCTCTCTGTCTCTCCCTCTAACTCTTTTAAATAAATAAATAAATAAAATATTCATGAAGCATTGATAAACAGCATGGTCAAACCTTGAACAGATTCTAACAGAAAGAAATCAGACACCAAAAGTCACATATTACATGATTTCATTTATCTGAAATACACAGACTAGGTAAATTTTGGAGACAGAAAGCAGTTCAGCGGTTGTCAGAGGCCAAGGAGAGGAGGAATGGGAGGAATGAAGACTGATTGCTTAGTAAGTAGGGAGTTTCCTTTGGGGGCAGTGTACATGTTCTGTAGCTACAATGGTGCTAATGGTTGCATGGCATTATGTATGTACTAAAAGCTAGTGGATTGTAAGAGATAAGCTTATTTTGGTGAAAAAAAAAATTGAAACTTAACACTTATCAGGATCTTCAAAAGTTCATAGGAAATACATATTATGAAAAAATATGCATGGATTTAAAAAAATTGCACCAAAATCAATGTCTTTTAATTCTAGTTCTCATAAATTTTTGACCCTGAAACATATTAAAATGGGAAATTTTTGCATGTGAATTTTACTTTAAAAAACGCAGAAAGTTAACTCTGTGTTCTGGCCCAGAAAGCTTTCAGGGTTGATTTGAGCAGCTCAAGGGACCTGGGGACTCTAGCCGCTGAGGCTCCTATGATAACACCAAAAGGTGCACTTTTTTTTAATTGATTAAGCTCCTACAGCAGTGGCCCAATGCCTAACTTTACTCTTTTAAATTATGGCACGTGTGGCCCTTAAGATAAAACCACTGATATGCTGACTTTTACTATAGTCATTTCTAACCAGAGACATTTTTAAGAGACCTGACTTTTAGAACATTCTTCTTTACAAGTTTGGGACTTTACACCTTTTAGCTCTTTGGCTGTTAGATAAAAGAAATCTTACAGAGGAAATGGTGAATTGGCTTCCATATAAGATAATCATACATCCAGTTTCCTGGAAGACTTCCCACTCACCAACCTGGTGTGGTTATTAATAGAAGCCTACCACTCTAAAAAGCGCCCCCCGCATTTGGAAGATGAATATATAGTCCCCTACTTCAAGGGGACCAGGATTGAGCTTCCCTATCTGATCTATCCAGCAGGAATCTTTTTTGTGCCAGTTTTGATCCAGCTCTCTGGCAAGCTAGATGCGATTCGTCTTAATATGTGCGTTCTCTTTGCCAAGGCACACATAGCATGTTTGGACACATGGTCTCGTTTTATGGTCTTTGCTCTTATTTATTCTTCATACCCTATGGCAGAGCTAATCATTTGTGGGAAGCAAAATGTTAGAAATAGATGGCATGTTGGGTGATGCCCCAGCAGAATTTCATACAGGATATATTTTTTAAAATAGATTAATTCAAAAAGAAAATGCATGGTGGGCATTTGGCACTGTAGTTAAGACTCTAAATGGACCCCCGGACCCCATATTGGAGTGCCTAGGTTCATCTCCCCACTCTGCTTCTGACTCTAGCTGTGCAACCTGGCAGATAGCTCAAGAACTTGGGTTCCTACACCCATATGGGAGACCAGATTGAGTTGTGGTTATGAGCCGCTGGCTTCTGCCTGTCTCAGCTTTGGCTGTCATGGGCATGTGGGGAGTGAGCCAGCAGATGGAAGATCTCTCTCTCTGTTTCTCTGTCTCTCTCTGTCTCTGTGTGTGTGTGTGTGTGTGTGTGTGTGTGTGTGTGTGTCTGTTGGAATCCCTCTGCTTTCAAATAAATAAATACATAAATAAAAACTTTCAGAAACAAAATATCTTAAACGTCATTTGAGTCAACCCTGATGATATTGAATGGTCACATAACAGTAAATCTGAGTGAGATTTTACTCATATCTATTTTCTGGAACCAAGCACTATAGAAAATTTCAAAGTTAGCATCCCATACATATGAATACCCTCCAGGTAAAAAGTAGCCATTATAATTTTTAAAACCTAAGCAGAGTCTCAGAATTTATCTTCATATAACATTAGATCAGAGAAGTAAGAGGGCTGAGGGGACTGAACTGGGCTGGGTTTTCAAACTAGATTGCCATTGAATGCATCAAACTCGACACAGTCCTCTGACATAGCACTCTGCTTCTCCTTTCCTATATCTAGGAATATCTCACTTGCAGAAATGCAGTGGCAAAATGGTGGCATACTTCTGTATTTAACAAAGTCATCCTAGACAGAATTACTCAGGCAGTACTTCATCTGGGCTTCTTTGATTGTAACAGGGCCTCCCATTGGTCATCTAAGAGAAGGGAAGTGTATTTCAAAATGGCCCACAGGCTGAAGAAGCAGAGGCTAGGTGGTTTTCATTCCACCCTCCTTTGATTATTCAGAATGCATCTGAGCCCTGCCCCCACCAAAGCAATGTGGCCTAGCAGATAAAGCCTCCTCCTGCAACACCAGCATCCCATATGGATATCAGTTCGAGACCCAGCTGCTGCACTTCCCATCCAGCTCCCTGCTAATGTGGCTAGGAAAGCAGCAGAACATGGCCCAAGTCCTTAGGCCCCTGCACCCACATGGGAGATCCAGAAGAAGCTTCTGGCTCCTGCCTTTGGCCTGGCAAAGCCCTGGCCACTGCAGCTCTTTGGGAGTGAATCAGCAGATGGAAGATCTCTCCTTTCTCTCTCTCTCTCTCTCTCTCTCTCTCTCTCTCTCTCTCTCCTTTTCACAACAGGCAGGGCAGAGCCAGGCCAAAGCCAGAAGATGGAATGCAATCCAGGTCTCCCATGTAGGTGGCATGAACCCAATTACTTGAACAATCACCCAAGTACCAAAACCCCCATAGCCTGCATTTGGTAGTTAGTTCAAGTCAGGAGCTACAGCAAAGCACCAAATCCAGACACACCAATACGGGAGGCAGGTGTCTTAGGCACTATGCTAAACGCCCACTCCCTGAAAATACCTTTCTCATCTCTCTGGTCCCTAAGCAAGCCTGTGGGATTCTCCTACCTGTCTGTGCAGGAACTGAGCCAGCAGCCAAGCTTCAGGGAGCCATCAGGGTAAGTGCAGGAGCTAAAGACACACTTATCTTTAAGAAGTCATGTGTCTGGGCCGTCTTTTGTTCTCTCCTGTATTGCCAGTAAACATTATGTTGGAAGATAAAGATCTACAAAGCAAGAGAGGAGATGAAAAGTATCAGGCAAGGGAAAAGGAAAAGATTTTTCCCTTTTTTGGGAAGCAAACAATCCCTCTTCATACATACAATTAATTTACTCACACTTAAAAAACAGTGATATAAACTCTGGCTAATTCTGTATAGAAGAGCCAGTTTTCAGGCAAAGACCTTGCAAACAGTCCTCAGTCTCATACTGCATTATATTCCTAGAACATGTGTTAGCAACTGAAATAGTGTGACTGGATCTAGGGTTTTCAATAGAAGTAATGCCATAAAGAGACCATGGGCAGGGGGTGGGGGACACAGGAAGAATGTATATTATTGTATAAAGCCTGATGCTAAATATTTTGTCGGCAACCTATTTGGTCCCGACAAAGATTATCTTTTCAATTTGAACAGATTAAAACCTTCTAAAATATATTGAAATTCCACAGCACCAACATGACTCTCAGATGTATCATGTGATGCTCTGAGACTTCAGGCAAGTTATTCCCTCAGACTCAATTTCCTCGTCTAGAGAAATGGGGTAATGATGACACCCATCTCGTGGGGTACTGGAAGAGTTAAACTTATCCATGTAGATCAACCAACAATGCCTCTCAAGGCATGCACTCAGTAATGCTTACCCAAGCATGCAGCTAACAAAGGGTAGCTCTAGGTACTATTACATATAATTGTTAATAACCAGGTTCTTGCCTTGCCACTCATCCTGTGGACCGCCCTGGTTCATCAAAGCACTTTGTAGCTCCTATGCCCCAGGCAAAGACACCAAGCAGCGCCATTCTGTAGAAGCCCCCAAACTAATTCCTGGCCTCATTTTGGTTCAGGCATGTTACCTGGCTTGAATCAACAACCCCAACATGCCCTCGTGACCTCCATCCCAGTTCACCCCACATCACTTGATTAGGACCTACCTCAGGGAGCCATGTCCTCTGCGGCAGCCCCACCCTCTCCGTGAAAGGACCAGGTCATCTCAGTCACATGAAATGGTATTGGAGACAATCCAGTATAGAACGTCATGCCATCACAATGTCTCCTTAACTTAAATAAGTCCTGATTCTGCTCTTATTCTGCTCCCATCAAAAACTTCCTTCCTAAGACCACTCACCTCAATATAAAGCACCTCTACTACTTGCCCCAAAAGTCTAGATGTTCACTCCTCTCTTTCCCCACTCCCTAAATTCAATCCATTGGCGAGTTGTATGACCCTAACTTGAAAATGCACCTGAATCCCTGCCTTTCTACCTCCACCACTTACACCTTTGCCCCTTGCAGAATCAGCATCAGCCTGTGCCATTCCAGATGCACTGAAGGTGGCACCCAGAGGTAGGGGGACAAGCAGGGGCATCAGTCCTCCCAAAGGCTGTGAGGAACATGTCAGCTTGAGAACCAGCTATCCATCAAAACCACTGTCATCTCTCACTGCAGATACCATAGTACCCTTTTCACTCACCTCTGTGACTCTCCTCTTGCTCCCCTGCAATCCACTCTTTGCAGGAATACCGGTCTGTCTTTATTTCTTTCTTTTCTTTCTTTTTTTCTTACTGAAAATTCACCAATGACCTCCTGTGGCCACTAAACTGCTTCTCCCTACTCTCCCAGCCACTGGGCGCACCAGTCTTCTCTTCCCACGAATCAGACAGCTGGTTTCTTGCACAGAGCCTTGGTGAAACCTTGCTCCGCTGCTGAAATCCCCCTTGTCCTTCAGATCTTGGCTTCAGTGTTTCCTCCTCAGAGAACTTGCTATTCTTTCATAAGCAGCTTCTAAGTGCCAATAATTAGTTGCTGTCAGAGAGTCAATATTTGTTCTCCATGCCTGGTTTGCTGTAACCTCCTGCCTTTCAGATTTGCTAACGTGAGAGTTCATTATCGTGCTCCTACCAGACTAGCCGGAGTAAAAACCTCGTCCGTTGTATTCATCCTTGTTTGCCCAGAACAATCCCTGGCACAGCGCAAATATTTAATGAATATTTATTGAAGCATCTAGTTCATTACAATACACCCACAGAAAGAGGAATACTTTCAGCAGTGTCAGAGAATTTGGAAAGTCGTCTTTGAGAAGATTATGTCAAGTTAACCTAGAAGGAGGTAAAAAAAAGGACAATGGATCAAAACACCACTTGGAGTCAGAACCAGCAGGGGTCACCCACCAGCTCCATCTCTTACAAGTCACAAAAGATTCCTAACTCTCTTTCAACCTATTCAACTTCAAAAGCAAATTTCTGTATTTTGTTTCTAAACTGTCCAACATCTTCCTATCAGAGTTGTTTTGGGATTAAGTAAAATGATGCTAAAAGGATTTCTACCATAGAAGATTTGCACTGTACGTTGTATCCCAAAACTTCACAGAACACTTGGAGTTACTTGAAAAAGTATCTAATGCATATGACACTCTAGGAATGTAAGTTTAAAAATAACAATTCACCTATAATCCTGTTACCAAAACACCAACTATATATTGGCATTACCCATTTATAATACCTAGAATATTTTTACATAATAAAAGCCCAATGCAGTTTCAATTTTATAACTTCTTACCTTTTTGAAAACTGAATTCCTTTTTAATCATCCTCAAGCCTAAAGAGCGAAGTGCTCAAGTGCCTGGTCTCTTCTGCCTTTGATGCTACAGGTCTCTCTACCATCCTGAACTACAATTCACTTCACACTCTGAGACTATGAAGGCAATGCCTTTCAGATCCATTAACTAATCTTTACTTGCACTAAAAGTTCTCAGCTTTTGATCATTTCCCATCCTTTTGTTTCAAAAATAATTGCTCCAGGTTGTCGCTCCCCGTCTTCGTGGAGGAACGACACAGGACCCTGCGCTGTTCTTTCGTCTGCTCGGCCCTCCCCGGGTTTGCTGCTGGTTCTTCCAGGGTTGGCTACTGTCCCTTCCACCTCCGTGGAAGGGCGGTTCCCCCTGCCACATTCCCCACTTCCGCGGGGGAGCGGCACACCGCCGGCCGGCTCTCTCGGGGGCTGCACAGGTATTCCTCAGGTGTTCCCCTTAGATGTTCCTGGTGCATGCCGTCTCTCTCCTCCTTTATAGTCCTCTTCTACCAATCCCAACTCGGCTGCCCACACACCGAGTACGCTGCTCTCCTCCAATCAGGAGCAGGATCAGCTCCTGGAGGTCATCACTCAAGTTGGCAAGAGGCAGCTGCGTAGAAGCTGTTTTCTCCTCTCCCAGCGCCATATTGTGGTAGAGCAGATGCATAGAATAAGTCTTAATTCCAGTAACTTAGTCTAGTCCGGGTTGCTCCCCACACAGGTCTCAACATGAACAGTGGTCAACTCCAAGGTGCGCATCCCCAGGTCTGATCGTGAATCTACAAAATTAAAAGCCTTTGTTCTTGTTGTAGCAATGCTGGTGATAGGGAGAGGAGAGACTCCCAGGGACACATGGAAGCCAGAAGGCACAGCAGTGCAATGATTCTTGGTTCAGAAGACATCCTGAGTGACATGAGTTGTTGGAATGCTTGTGGTCAGTCTAAGTGCTGTGGAGGGCCAGTCGCCAGTGTAGTAACAGAAGAACTTTACCAGCAGATCCTGAAAAACGAAGGTCTTCAAGTTTACAATCTAGCTGTACGACACAAATCTACAGACTATTACTGTCGGTCATGCACTGTGCTAAGTACTGGGAATGTAATGAGGATCAAAGATAAATCCAGGGGCAGGCGTTTGACTCAGCAGCTAAGTCTCTGCTTGGGATGCCCATATTGTATCCCATATCAGAGTGCCTGGATTCAAGGCCTGGCTTCAGTGCTTCTGATCCCGCTTCCAACTTATGCATAACCTGGGAGGCAACAGGTGACAATGGTTCAAGTACTTGCATCCCTGCCACCCAGGTGGGAGATTCAGACTGAGTTGCTAGGTCCTGACTTCAGCCAGGGGCCAGCTCTGGCTGTTGCCTGCATTTGGGGAGTAAGTCAGAGACAGATGATCTCTCTCTCTCTCTCTCTCTCCTAAATTTTATTTTAAAATAAAATAAAAACATTTCAAATAAAAAATGTAAAACTGAAACAGAAGCATGATTAATATTTCCATGGAATTTAAAATATAATGTAGGAAATTATAATGCATCAAACACACAAATACACATAAATTCTTAACTGAGATTACCACTGGGGATAAATGAGCATGATAATATTATAAGATCATGAAACAATTGTATGCCACCTGGATTTGGGAGTCAAGGAAGGCTTCTCTGAGAAGGAAGGGCTTAAACATAGATACGAGGTAACTGAGCGAGTTGAGGTGGGGAGGACTAGATGTACAGAGCATTTCAGCCACAGATAAGAGCGTGTGCAAAGGCCCTGAGTCCGAAAGAACAGGGCTCGTTCACACCCCATGTGTCTGTGGTGATGATGCCGCAACACAGGTCCCAGGTGACAGAGTTCAAACTCACGAAGTCTGGCACGGGACTGACAGAAGGAAATGACATTAGGCAATGCTGCCCGAGTGCCTGGCCCATAGGAAGCTATTTGTGAGGGTTACCTATCATTCTCATCATTGTTTCCCTTGCCTTGCCTTCTATTCCTATGTTAGTTGTTTTCCTGCACCAGGTAGAGTGAGGCCACCACCATTCCTCACACGGATCACTGCAGTAGCTTCTTCAGATCCATTCTAACAGGATTCTTCTCTTCCCATGTAAAAGCACTAAACAACTCTAATTGTGCTAGATGTGCATAACGCTGGTTTTGAAAATAGTTTATTATGTGCAAAAGTTTATAAGATAAAAGCCCAATATCATTTATACGACTTAAAAACATAGAAAATGCAGTGTCATGATCACCTAAGAGAGTGGTAGGGCTGACTGAAACAAGTTTAGAACTCATCGTAGTGGGCAGGCACTTGGTGCAGGGGTTAAAGTCACTTCTTGGGGCGCCCACATCCCATATCTGAGCCTCTTGGTCTGAAACTCGGCTTCTGCTTCCAGTCCAGCTTCCTGCTGATATACACCCAGAAGGCAGTAAGTGAGGGCTCAAGTACCTGGATCCCTGCCACCCATGTGGAAAACTCGAATTGAATTGTTATATTCTGGCTTCAACCTGGCACACCCCTGGCTGTTGTGGGCATTTGGATTCTGAACCAGCAGATGGTGTCTGTCTGTCTGTCTCTCTCAAGTTGAAGATAAATATATAAATAAATAAATGGAAATGAACCCAAGGTAGCACTAAACATCACTCAGAGTAATTCCCTGTAATCTTCACTGAGTGTCATCCGTCAGGTAGGATCTCCAATGCACTGAAAGCTGTGCTGGGCCAGGAAGATGAACCTGGCCTGATGGGTGGAAGAGGCAAGGAGGATTTCTGGCGACTCCGGAGGAGGCCACCTGGCTAGCTGCTACGTACATACCCACAACAACCAAGGCACCCAAAAGGAGGGCTCCTTAAAACCAAGAGAAACACAAACAGCAGGAAGTCACCTTCCGAGTAAATCCCTTCCATGGCCTCACCATTGCTGCCAGTAAATTCCAAACTTCCAAGCACTGCACCGACAGCCTTCTCCGCCCTTACACTCTTGGAGTCCCAGCCTCACCTCCCTTTGCAGCTCCTGCTCCCTCCACACTCCAGATACTTTCTTGAACAGATGACGTACCCTCTCCCCTTTGATAGGCTGCCCCTTGGCCTTGGTTCTTCTCCCTCCCTCATGCAGAGCTGGCCCTCAGGACTCAGCTCAGAAGTCACCTTCCCCAAGCAGCCTGTCCTCCGTGCACCAGCCTGGGCATGCGTCCTCCTGCGTCTCCCCACAGCTCCTCCATCCTGTTTCCATGCTCTCGTCCCAGTTCCGGCTTTAATTTTCACAGCCGCCACAGGAGTCCAGCCTTTCTGAGGGAAAGGACAGTGATGTCTTCATTCACTTTGCTTGTTCATGTATGCACCTGTTTCAGAGTTCCCTTTAGAGGAGTGCATAAAAATAAAGCCCTTCTCTTCAGCAATCCCGCAGACTCCCCTGACCTTACCTTTCCCGCACGTCCCTGAGAACCTGGTACACAGTAAAAGCTCAATAAATGGTGAAGCAGGCGTTTGGGCGTGCGGCGGTTGTGCTTACCACTCTTACGGATCGGGAAACCTCTGACAACAGACATTCCCATGGCACGAAGTTCAGAACACTCATTTGGTTTATAATACTTATTCATTTTCTGCTTACTAAAAAGTATATTAAACATAGAAAGCTTAATATCTAAGCATAGAAATGAGTAGCAAAATTAACACTCGTGTGTGAAAACACACATGAAACCTTTGTTGATATTTGGATGGGTTGCCTTACATAATGTATGTGTGTGTGTACGTGTGTGTATAGCTGTATACTGCCTTGATGGCCTACTGAGATATAGTTTCTATATTATAGAAGGCAACCATTTGGAGCGTATAATTCACAGGGCAGTGCATCAATCCCCCTAGACTATTTTAACCCTCCCAGAAAGGAACTCCACTTAATTAGCACTCACTGCCTGTTATCTCCAGTGGCCCAGCCCCGAGCATCAGGCAACCACTAATCCACTTTTTGCCTCTGTGGATTTGCCGCTCCTGGGCATTTCCTATAAAGGCAATTGTGCAAGATATAGTTTTTGAGACTTAGTTTCTTTTACTTAGCATAAAGTGTTTCAAGATCATCCATGGTGTAGCATGTGTCAGAACTTTCCTTTTAATAGTCACAAAATATTTTATTGCATGCGAATTCATATTTCATTTATCCATTCAACAGTTGGTAGACATCTGAGTTGTTTCTACTATTTGGCTCTGAGGAATACTGCTGCTATGAACATTCGTGTACATGATTTTGTATGGGTGGATGTCTTCATTTCTCTTGCTGTTATTTGAAGAATTAGAGTTGCAAGGCTGATGTTGTGGCACAGTGGATACAGTGGATCAAGCCACTATCTACAAAGCCAGCATCCCACATGGGTGCCAGTTCATATCCTGGCTGCCCTACTTCCCATCCAGCTCCCTGTTAATGGGTTGAGAAAAGCTGCAGAGGTTGAGAAAATTTGCAGAGAAAAACTATAGTACTTGGGCCCGTGCTACCCATGTGGGAAACCTGGATGAAGTGCCTCACTCTTGGCTTCAGTCTGGTCCAGCCCTAGTCCTATCTAGGAAATGAACCAGCAGATGAAAGATCTCTCTCTCTGTTTCTCTGTCTCT